TTTATTTTTACCTCGTACAACGAGTTCGCCCAGTATAAAATACGTGCATACGTCCGTAAATAAAATGTACGAGTACTTTTCGACGAGACGAATATCATCTGCGGAGAATGTTTGTTTTGTAATTGTATACATTATATTGTGATACTGTCCAAAGTGAATAATTTAATTTAACGATAAACGGTTAAAATAGGGGTTAAAATTGGGGTTTCTCGATTTTATATTCTAAGTGAATGTATCGGTTTTACTATAATGGGGTTTATTAATTAAGTTAAACCGTTATTTACGTATCTTTTATTTCCATCCAGATAATTATTCCAGTAACTATCTCTTATCTTTATTTAGATATTTTAAAATGTTTCTTTATACTGTTTATACTCTTTACACTGTTTATATTCATATACACGCACGCATAAATAATACCACGGGCCTTATGAACCTAAAAACCCAGGGAATGAGGACTTCCTACTCCCCCCTCCCTTTATCAAAAAATTATATTCAATTTTCGTTTAAAAGGAAAACTAACATTGTTCTTTTAAAAATACCAAATATGAGTACCCTTTACTGTAAACACAACTATTTTAAAACAAGTATGACGACTTCCCCACCAAGTACGTTTAAAATTAAAACTACGGTAAATGTTACTGCAATAAAATTTAAGTACATCGTGGAGTAATTGGATGATATTAAGTCGAATGTAATTTTGTGCAAAACTTCTAAAGTCGAATTGGTACGCACGTATGAATATGTAAAATATACGCGGTAATATAAAACAGCCTAATAAATATATTGAGTTATAGTTATATAATATTATGCGTATTATTATTATTTGTTGATCCGTTTTTATTTAATTTTTTTGTTTTTATTATACGAAGAGGGAGGGGAAAAAATCGGAATAATATATGTCGAGAATTGAAATTATCACGTTTAAATAATTCTTAAAAAAGGTACCGGCTCTAGGGGAACGGGAAACAGGGCACTTGTCCCGAGTACAATTACTGTGGCAGTGCAAAACGTAAAAATATTTTTGTTCCGAAATTGAATTATAAATTGTAAATACCTTATTAAGTATACTACCTTAATTCCCAATGACTAAAAATCGTATGAAAATAAAATAGCCGATGAATTAACAGAAGAAGAAATTAATAATTATAACTTTAAATGGAAAGCAACAATTTAATATCATAACAAAAGTTGCTATAGATATTATTTTAACAGGTTTAAGAGAACATTTTAAATCTATGGAAGCTATCGTAGTAAAATTTTCATTTTTAAATGACAATATGTTATTTAAAATGCCGTTAAGTGATAAAAAAAACGCGTAGCTTATTTATGTCATAAGTATGAAAAAAACGTATTAAACAAAATTCAATTTCACTATGAAAAATGATTTCTTCCAATTTGTTTTGTCTTCACTGCATCGAAATACTCAACAGATCGTACTAGAAGGTAAATTCTCCAAAAGTAGTTCAACATTTGATTGCGATCCCGTGGCAAAAAAGGTACAAGAGTAAAACGTATTAATCTTCTTTTTGATAAGTACGTGTATTATACAAATTGCAAGAAAAGATGTAAGAATAGGTACTAGATTTTTTCTGGAGAAGGGGAGGTGTGTTTTTGATTATAAGTTGTATTCAATAGGACTGAATTGGGAGTTAAAAAGAAATTTCTGAATTTCTGTAGTATTTTCGAAATGGGAGTATGCCCTAAACATCCCCCCTTAGTTATGCTTTTGTCTGTAGGTGTAATTTTGATATTATGTTAGGTACGATTTCTTATCGAAAAAAAATTATTTACGGACCGAAAAGCAAAAATTCACCGTCATAGTAAAAACAAAAAGGTCGAATAAATATAAATAATTTTTCTATTCGAATTAGACGTTTAATAATTTTTTCTCAAATTTTTTCTAAACATGGAGACTATTTCATTTATAATGTACAAATCGGCGATACAATAAGACGTAAAATACGTAATTATGACATATTTTTTGCTATAATATTTTTTTTAAGATCGCCTACCCCGAAAGAAAATTATCTACTCACCCCACAGTCTTCATAAATGTGCTGCTGCTGTTGATGATGCCGGTATGTCGTTATTAGCGATCGAGGACAGAGGAGACGAAGGGTTTCGTTCTTTTGAAATGTGTAAAAACCGTAAAATACCGTGTGGTTTCGTCACCGTAGCCGATGATTGGTTCGATAAAAAATTTCACCCGTAAACGATTTGTGGTTTTTGCCATGCCACCACCGCTGCACTATTATTATAAAGTATATTTTTTTTTCCGAAGGCGAAATGCCAGAAAAAAAAAAAAATGATTTTCCCTAATTGTTATTGTATTTTTTTTTGTCCGCTGACTTCTCTCTAATTGGGACGTTAAAACGGTGGCTGTGGTAGGGTAAAGAAAAAAACATATTTTTTTTTCTCGTATACTGTCATGAACATCATTAATTACGATGGACTCGTCAACACAACAACAACAACGATTACAGACCATTAAACTTGGAAATCAATCCGAAAATTAATAAATAGTATTAATTATAAGTATATTAAAAAAAAAAAAAAAAAAAAAACAACTATTGACTGGCATTACGACGTGTAGTAATAATTATTTGAAAAAAATACATAAAGCTATTAGGGCTTTTTCAACTAATTACGTCACTCGTTTTTTTTTCTTCTGAACTTAATTATAAACCTAACCTGGAAATAACAATGGGTTTTCTACATTAATATTGTATTATTTAAAAATATAATATTATTATAATATGAATGGAAATGGTGCCATAATTACCCGGGAAGGTGGGAGGAAGTCGAATATAATAATTACAACTCGAATAATACACGACGATTTTCGCTTTAATCGTACATTTTTTTCGAGCATAGATTTTTTTTTTTGTTTTTTTAATACTTTATATGAACAGATAAATTATATTTATGTAAACACTGAAAATTCCGCCGAACGAGAATTGAAATTTAATTTTTCGATTGGTGGTCATAGCATTCAATCCGATGGTGAACATTATTAAAGATTTAAAAAATTTAATTGATCTTAATTTTTAACTGAGCTTTTTTATTAAATTCGCTTTTAACTTCACAATTTGTTTTTTTTAAATTAACACTATTACCTATATAGCTGATAAGGTTATTTTAAATCACAACACGTTAAGTAAATATACATTTTTTTTTTAATTACAACCCAATATTAAATTTACAGCCTATATTCTCTATTTGAGTGCGCCATTATTGTATAAATAACAAGGTTGTATTAAGGTGTTGTCTTAATTTTTTGGCAGGAAAGGCCAATGCGCTTCTCAGGAGTACATGATGCTCTTTGTTTTACATTAGTTATGCTGTTTAAAATTATTATTTTTAAAAAGTTGGAAGGAAGAGTTTATAGAGTAATTCAATTTTAGTAGTTTAGAAATTAATAACACAAAAATCATATAAAAAATGCCAGGTTTTTTCATTTATTAAGAAAACTACAAGGAAAATCACCAAAAAAAAAAATGACTTTCACAATGCACTTTCCAAATCAAAAATACTATAAACAATTTCCTATAAAGTTTTTATAGAAGTAACAATTTTTGGTTGAAAAGTTGTTTAAAAGACATTAAAAAATATATAAATCAGAATCTAAAAATAAATAAAACTCCCTAACGTATGATTATAAGTTATTACATTTTCGATTAAACTTTCGCCTTGATTTATAGTTAATCAATAAAACAATGAACGTTTAACGTGTTAACCCGTTAACGTTTTTTTTTAATTAAGTTAACTTAACTTAGTAAAAATATGATTTATTAAATCACTCAGCCTAGGTAACGACTATAAAGATGGTACGCCATTTATATAAGTACGTAATTTTCAGTTTCTTCATACCTACCTCCTGTTTAGTATTTCGTTATCGCGTGAAATTATATTGTACGCCGATTTGTTGTAGTATTCCATTGCATTGAACCCGCAAGTTTTAACCGCTGTAACTGTTTTGTTCCTAAATAATAATGTTACATGCTAAATAAACACGAATACATTTTACGCGTCAAAAAGTGTATGAAACCAAAACATGCATAATAAACTACATTTCTGTTTGCATGTCATTACATAATGTGCATTATGTTTTCCTTCGTCGAAAAACTCTTAAAGCCGCTTGTTAAAAGGTTAAATTTCTTCGGTAAACAACATACAATTTAAACCATTTTCTCACAAACATTACCGCCAAACACGAAAATCCACAACTCTAAATCATAATATATCCACACTATAATAGAGACGCAGGATCCGCAAGTCATGGATTCCGATATATCAGCCAATAAAAAAAAACATGAACGCATTCAATCATTGACACGTCGTTCAATCACAGCCAGACCGGTTCGTCAGCTAGAGTTCACTCATCCACTCATCCACTCATCCACCAAACTTTCCGTTCGTTACCTAATAATTTTTTGTTTTTAGCTATAAAAACCTTTTATCGAAATATCATTATACCCCGAAATAAGTATGATTTATCGTAAAACAATTTATAATAAAAACTAAAAGATCGCAATTTTATCTTGGGACATACCATTTAATTAAATACTAATTATTAATAATTTAAATTATAAAAAAAAATTTTTTTTCAATTTTGAATACCTATCGTTGCATATAAGTAAATTGAAAAATGCTTATTCTATATAAGTCTGAAGGGTACTTTTTTCTGTTTTACGTCGACTAGTTTCGGAAAAAACTTCACGATAATACAATAAATATTTGTGGTAAGGAACATTTGTTAATTTATTCGCAAACGCAGTAAAATAGTAATAGTAATAAATGTGTCTATCGATTCATATTTTAATTGGACAATTTTCGTTATAATTGCCTATACTCAGCCTTTTAAATATCGATAAGAGCGACAGTCTCTCAATGAAATTTTTTATATTTCCTTAATCGTTTAATACACTATAAATAATACAATACGGATAATAATATAGAAACGGAATGTTTGAATGTTTGTTCTCTTGGATAGAATATCGACCTATACGTACGGATATTTTAGATTATGAGCAGACTATATAGAATTGCATAGGTATTATATACGTTCTTCTGAAATATTTTAAGTCAGTCTCACGTGCACATCAATCACCCGTACCAACGTTTCCATCACTATATATAAACGATAATCGTTAATCTATATTTGGGTCGCATTCCTGGCATTAAAGATACCGTGTATAAGTGTCCAAGTCGTTTGCAGATTATTTCGTTCGAGTTCAATAAAGCTAAATTTCGCACAATTATTATTGCAGATATTCAACGTTGCACTCGCAATATTGTAACGGTCACATTTACGCGAAGTTCTCGGAATCCACATCCGCAAATACTGTATTTCGGATGTGACTGCGATTTACGTTTATGTGTACCTAAATGTTCGTTAATTCTACTTGATTTTTGCGTTTTCACAGCTTTGATTATTTATCTTGAATCTCAGAACGTCGGAGTGACGGGTTCAAAATATAAATACAATTTCACGTTATAACGTTAATCGCTAATGTGCGCGAATCAAATTTAGCTATTACCTTATTACAGTTAAAAATAATTTTGTGTTAGGATTTAAGACCAGAAAACACATTATCGGAATTCGATAATTTTAGGATCCCTCGTTCTTTTAAAACACGTAATTTTTAGATAATCACCCAGTTTTTATAAAAATTTCGCACGGCTGTTTTAAAAATTACCAACATCGCCATCGTAACTTACAATTAATATGCACAACATTCGTTAAAATTGAATTAGTTTTCATTTTACAGGTCATATGCCTACACGTAGGTAACAAAAGGACGCGTAAGAGATTACATTTTAATTTTTTTCCATTATTCTTTGTTAAAGGCACCAAGTAGTTTTCTTACCGGTTTAACTTGATTGCAATATTCTGTTATTGCGGGTGGTTTTTATTATTATATTTTTTTTTTTTCTAAGTGAGCAACAACAGATGAGATATTACGGTGTTAGGATTCGCGCTACGAGTACCTATACATAGTACAAAAATAATAAAAAACTTTCTCCTTTGATAGTAAGTATCTCGAGAGAAAGAGAGAGAATATTTCCCATGCCCTCCCCCCCCCGTAATACACCGAACACTCTTATAAAATATTTAGACACGATAGCGTACAAGGGTTGAAATGGGAGAGTTAAATCGTTTTTTTTTTTTTTTTTTTTTTTTTTTCAAACGAAACAATGGGAATAATAATAAAAAAAAAAAAAACCTGTTAATTATGTACTCGCGCGCGCATAACCTTCCTATTTTACGGCGAATTTCGTATTATTTACAACTCCGGGACGGGAGGGGGGAGGGAAAAAAAAAGCTTACGAAACCGATGATTAATAATAATAATCATATCAAACGAATTACGAGACGAGTTATTTGTTTTGTTTTTAACTCAAAAGAGGTCTTATTAATTTTGTTTTTTTTTTTTTTTTTAAAAAAAAAAAATGATACCGATTGAAATGTATAATACACGCGGCACGATTAATTAAGTCGCGTCTACTGCCGATCGGTTTGCCCCGGTACTGTGTTATCGAACGTACAATATTGCGCTCGGCGGAGCTGTGGAATATAATAACACAGAAGAAACGAGCGCACGGTTATTGTAATATTAATAATCGCGGGGAACCGAACGAAAAACAACGAAAATGTTTGCATAAATACATTCTGAATGAAATACTCCGATCCGACATCGGGCTAATTAATAATACCATCGCGCCGGGCGCTGCGTCGATTTTCGGCTATTCGTTTCGAGAATTGAATCGTTACGATTAGTGTACGGTAATCGGGTCGGTGTTTTTTTTCTCTCTCTCTCTCTCTCTCTCTCTCTCTGTACACAAGCAATAAACACCGATAAATTCCCGGTACCACTAAAAGATCTAAAAGATATTTCAACCAACGGTTCGCAGTGTTGTTTAGACGTCCAATATTTACAAAGACCGTTCCCGTAGTCTAACCGATCGAATTGCTCGGAGCGGGGTGACCCTCAACGTATACTGCCGTAAAGAGTATGCGCTATCGTCTAATTTCTCTGACGAAAACGTTATGGCTTTTTTTTTTTTTTATCAACGAGATAATTCGTAACACGCGATGCATTTTCTCCGAGTGTTCGTTCAATCGGTGTAAATAGGTGTGTTCAATAATCTCACCGCGACGAGTTTAATTTAATTTACGAAGCGGGTTGAACAAAATGTTAGGTACTTAATCTCGAACAACTTAACGTGTTTAATCAAACATTAATAATTATGAACCGTGTAATTATTTTCCAAAATCGATTTGCGTTCATCGATTCGACCGGGTTTCGTTTTTAACGTTACATTATCACTTATTATTAATAATGTCAAAATATTCTCGAAGCTTTCTCGAAATCTTTACAGACATTTAAAACCTGATAGGTCATTTATCCAATCGTGAGTAAATGTATTAACTGTATACACTGCCGCGAATATACAGTAAAGGTTAAATCAGATTAAAAAAAAAAACCGTGTATATTTCGCGTCGTAGGTATGCCACTGTTGTAGACGGTAGCTGGGAAGGAATATAGAATATACGAGGCAATTTTTTAGTTTAAAATACAAAAGCAAAGATAAATCATTGCAGTCTAAAATAAATTTCGCGTAGTTTCGGTAAACCGATAAGATTCGGTCCGATAAGATTGGCCGTGTTCTGCAAGGCAACCGAGAAATTAAACGAAATAAAACTGATTTATCATATTTTTTGTATAGTTTTTTAATTATTGTTGGAAAACTTTTGGTAATCTAGATATTTTTTTTTTTCAAATAAAGAACCGCAGGGCGAAACATCCGCATCTTTTATAGTACCCATGGTTTTGAAATCGGTCCATTATTTTTCTCACTGAAAAAGTGTTATCCGAAAAAAAAATATGCCAGTAAAATCAACAGCTTTAATTAAGAATATAAAATTATTTAACACTAAACGTTTATTATTGATGTCGTGTACAGGATTAAAAAAGCAAAAAATACGTTTCAAATTTGTTGTTACAGATTATTTAGTGCGATAAAGTCTACGTAAACTGTAACCTATACAATTCAAACACATGTGAAATATTTGAATCAATTTTTTTTTCATAACCTAAAACTGGTACACATATTGGAGGTCTCATTTTTACGGAAAACACCATTGTAAAACTTTCATCTAATAAAACATTAGTTGAAAAATATAATATTATTATGCTCATTTTATCAATCGCCATTTAAGTTATCGGTCAATTATAGTTTCTGATAAAAACTGATTAAAGACTTTGAAAATTATGGTTTTATAGATTTTAATATTGTTCTAAGTTTAAGTAATCTAACAATAACCGTATAATAATCACAAAAGGGTTAGTTATCAATTATAGATAATTATTGTTTTAACAATATTAAAAAAAAAATAATAATTAATTAAAATATTAAATATTTTATACAAAATAATATATTGTTGTATTGTTTTTTTTTTTTTTTTTAAAGATAAATAATAAAATTAAAATAAGATATTTTTTAAGATAAATGATTTTCTATTTATCTGAAGGCCAAAATAAGTAAATAAAATAAAACTTAATCACGTACCAATAATAATCTGATAATCTCGAGATAAATCTTGGACTGACCAAATATCTCGGATTAATTAGTCTGCCACAGTGCAGCTTTTAAAGTCCAATTAAAAATTTAACTGAGTGATAATAATAAAATCGCATTTCTAAGAGTAGCTTAACTGAGGATTAACTGAAGCTTATAAATTCTCTTTACTGTTGGCGATTGATAAGATCGGTTTTAGTGTTTTCGAGGAGAAAATCTGTCGGAACTGTTCGATACTTTAACGTAGACGGTGTTAAATTAAAATTATTTTGGTTTTTTTTTTTTTGTTTGTAGTGAATTACATGAAACGCGGTCGACGAACTTGACTTTGTTACTTAGCTGTAACGACAAGCGTTTATATTTTGTGATTCCAGCAACGATGTCCATCCGTGGATGTGTATACAATTTTCGGAAAAAAATCTTAGCACCCCGTCCAAAGACTACGAGACAAGGGCATTCCGAATAATAATAATAATATAATATTCTCGAAGCGTTTCTAAAAGACGACTAATCTAAACACGTCCGACGTAACGAAATCGCGTAGATGATGATGGATCTCCTATGCAAACGCAGCTAGTAATCGATCAAAACCACGGGCTAGCGGGGGCCGAGCGATGCGAAAATTAGACTAAAGAGATTTTATTTATTTTCCTATCCCAGCGGGCACGACGTTGGCGGGGATCACGGTCAAACGGTTAGATTTCGACTAAAATACACTCGATTTGAACACCTAGTCGAGCTACATGAATCTATGTATTATATAAAAAGGAAGTAACTGATCCGCTGACGTATCCATACATAAATCAAACTGCTGGATTTAGAAACTTATAACTACGCTCAGAGATTCTCTATACAATGTAGGCAACCGCTAAGTAAAGCTCTTTTTGAAAGTCAACTTCTAAGGGGTTAAGACAGATTAAAAAGTTGAATGTGTTTAATAAGCCAAAAATGGCAAAACTTTGTTTAGCAAATCTATTAATAAAATACAAGTAGTTAAACATATTTTCGGCCGATTATGGAAGTTTAACCTCTTAAGGGTTGTATTAGGGTATCAAAGTTAAAGTGGACAAATAACTCTGTTTAATTTACCGGAGCGAAGGATTTACATAAGTAAACAACTAACGATTTTGGTTTTTATATAATGGCACCGAATGCCATGTAAATGAGCAACTTTATAAGGGAACGTAACAGAAGAAGACAAGTGTGACATCCAGAGAAAACCGTTTTGTATTTTGAAGTTAACCAATATACAATACAATAGTTTAACACATCTGTTGCTATGCATTTCTGACTGTTGGTCTAAATTCACATTTTATTTATATCAATAACGTATTCATACTTTTCACTTAAAAAGTTAGTGGCATACACATAACGCCACTGATGGAGGAGATCAGATCTCCAAATTTCTTTTTATACCCTCCTGAATTAAGCATTATAAAAGTCTTAGTTGTATGTTATCATCAAAACAAATAATACATAAGGAAATATTATTTTATATTTTAAAAGCGATAAAAACAAAAAAAAAAAAAAAAATACTAATCCATTCCGGTATATTATGGTACTTGTCCAGCTGCAATTGTAATAATAATACGAATAATAATATTGTTGACGCGGTTAAGTCGAGTACCTATCGTTTTCAATTCAAATGAATAGGTTAGCAGGTTTTTTTTTTTATTCATAGTGAGTACAGGTACATTTTTAATACAATTTAAAAAAAAAACAAATTTCCCTGGCAATGGAGACCATTGCACTGTAATGTGTCTGATATACATATTTTTCGATATGTTTGGACACTTTTAACGGTTACTTTTGGACGAAATGAGCTCGAGAACAAAAGCTGTTTATATAGGTAGATTATAGTGACAAAAGTTGGATTAAATTTTAATA